AAATAGTACAATTCCCTAAAAAACAAACTGCATTTCACCAATATTAATCCCCAATTCTTCGTTCCAAGATTCTTTCCATCACCTTCATAATGTGTTCCAATAGCTTAATTGCTCTATAAGATCAACAGTCTAAAGGATCCTCCTTACCTATATATATTGGAAGAATTATACTTTACCCCCAATCTTCTGGGATATCTTATTCCATAATTACTATATTGAACAACTCAGCCAGTCTCTCAATTCCCCAATCACCAGTTACTTCAACATTTCTGGTACCCACAGTCTTACCAGTCTTCATTTTTCTTAGGCCCACTCAACCTCCTTTTTCTTTATATACTCAACCTCTGTTACCTTTATATTTGCTTCGATATTCCCATCTCAGTCATCTTTTCATTTAACAGTTTTTCCATATATTCCCTCCATAGCTTTTCTTTCCCCTCTGGGTCTATTCTTTATGGAATTGACTCTAACATCCAGTCTCTCCCTATTTTTTGGCCTAGCCATACAGTAAACAGCGTTCTTAACATTCTCTGTATTCAGCTTTTCTGATAAGTCCTTGCAGTATTTTCGTTTTGCTATCACTACTTCCACTTAGCCTTCCGTTTTAAACTATAAAATTAAAAGTCTAAAAAATGCCTTTTTAAAAATTTGTATAAATTTGGATTTTTAAATTAAGTTATAACAAATTTGCCATTATTTTTGAAAATATGAGTAAAATAAAAACATAAACCTACAAATTTGTAAATATTCAATTTGAAAAAAACATGCGCCCAAAAAGATGTTTATGACACAAAATAACAAAGAAGTGTAAAGACAGAATAGACAGTTCATTTGTGAAGTAGTTCATTTGTGAAGTAGTTTTTCGTTTCTATGCACCTAATTATATATAATATAATCATTATAATGTGACTACATATAAGCTATCTCAATTATAATGAACAATGCGGTTTCAAACCGCGGTTACCGCACCGCAATCAACGGTTGCGGAAAAAAAATTTTAAAAACTTTGCAGATTTTGCGAATTCCGGATTTAAGTGCGTAATTCAAAAAACCGACCGAAAAATTTAATTTTTGATTTTCAAAAATTTTCAGTTTCAAAAATTTTGTTTTTTCGTTTGTTTGCATAAACGCACGTGCGTATGTATGTGTATTTAACGACCATAGCTGAATATCTCTGAGGTTAACGTTGATTAAGCCAAGCTTCTACTAATTACTTCAGCAGATTTGAATAAAGAAATTTAGTTCAATGTTATACACGACGTCTGAATACATCGGAATGACTACGACAACATTAACGAGAAGACTCACTATGCATAAGCAACATGGAGCAATAAAAGACCACCTAATGGAACAACACAACACTATTATAACAAGGGAAATTTTAGACAGTAACACCAAAGCAATTTATTACAACAGAGAAAACTTCAAATTGAAGATAGCAGAATCAATTTTCATCGATAAACGTAGACCAGCAATAAATATTCAACTAAATAATACCAATATTCTTCCAACAAAGAAACACATGAATAACTTTAATTATAATTAAGTTACAATCAAAGTCGCTGTGAAAACAAATACGCAAAGACGGAACAATACTATATAACTACACTGATGATGGCAGTTGATGCCGAAAAGAGCTTTTCTGTAGTAATAACGTTATTAATAATGTTTCGTCAAAAATGTCAAATATTAAAAGTTTTTAATCATCAAGATGATAAAAGTCTCGTTAGAAAAATTGAGAAACTCAACTACAAATTGAATAATGCCGAAAACGCAGTGATCTTTATAAATAATTGTATATATACATCTTTATAAATATTAAATATATAAATAGCTTGAGTTCCTCATTTTCGTTCGTTTTGTACTTGTGGTTCTGGGCGATGTTATTTTAATTATTACATTAGAAATTAATTAAATTCTTTTCAAATAAATTGCTCTCTACCATTGCTACTTGAGATTAAGACGGCCGATTAAAGATTAAGACGGCCGATTAAAGATTAAGACGGCCGATTAAGATTGCCTCTTCGCGGGTACGGAAGCGAATAATTGAGAAGTGCGGGAGCTGGCGGTTGCGGACGTGAACTCTGCTGGTGCGGGCGGTTGTGGACGTGAACTCTGCTGATGCGGGCGGTTGCAGACGTTACCTCTGCGAATGTGGGCGGTTGGGTTTTGAAAAATCTTCTTTGCTTGAGGGTCTAGTATGCATACAAGCATATATAATTAGTAATATTATTATTAAGGTTATTAATATCGAAGTATCGATATTGTATTTTTGACACTTTTTCAGTATTGACTACGGTGCCGACAATACATTTGTTACGTGGTATCGAATTTAATATCGAAAATACGTTTTAGAGCAAAAAATTTCGATAGCCAATGCCAATACTTTTTATCAAAACGTTGAATTTTCATCAAATATTTTTATATTCAAAGTTATGCGCTTATTCCAATTAACTTTTAAATTTTTATGTCGTCTTATATTCTATGCGTTTTAGAGTTGTTTACCATCACGCCTTTTTTCGCTTTGGTTCTGTTCGTTTTCATTCAGTTGCATTTTCTTCGTTTGATTTGCATATCACTCAATAAAATTTTTAATTTGTTTTCGATAATATTTTAAAATGAATGATAAAGAACGTCTTTTTTCAGGAGGTAGAGTTTTTACACCACTACGATATAAACCTTGTATTTTGAAATTATGGTGTTTTTGCGTGCTGCAAAGTGGTGACAATGTTAAACATCATTTAAAATTATATTCTTTTCATAAATATTTTTAACTATAGTTGACCTTTTAAGTAGTTTGACCAATTTTTTAAAATTATCTCATGAATAAAATTGTTGAATTGTGTTATATTTTCCTAGATGTGAGCATTTAATTTCACGTGGCACTGAATAAAAATGACAAAATTACTAGTATTGATTGGCAATACTTTTGAAACTGGGTATTGGTACTGTCAATACTTTTAGAACTGATTATTGGTATTGATATTGGTAATACAATTTTTTGGTATTGTTAACAACCGTGGTTAGTAGAGTGTTGTTGTAATGCCATAAAAATTTCACAGCTCATTACAAAACTTTTCTATGACCAAGTAAAATACTATGAAATTTTTATAACTTTTCATGACCAAAGTTGAATTCCAAAATTTTCCAAGACTTAGAAACAAGTGACTTTCAATCCCAAAACATTTCATGACTTTCCACTCCGAGATACAAATAATATAATACAGTATTACAGAAGAGAATTAATAAAACAATCCAGAAAAAATAGAATATTATTATTATTATCATTCTCTCTTAGATATACCTCAGAGATTACTATAACAAATACAAAGTGTATAAATAAAAGGGAATCAACACATCAGACACTTTTTGCATGTGATAGGTGGAGAACATTTTACATTCAAACTCAGACACTGCATCAACAATTCCAGGCACCTTAACCATTACACAATCGCGCTGTTCAAAAAAGAAAAAAAAAGAAATTTTATTAGTTTTGTTTTTGATTATCCAAATTTAAAAACACTAAAAAGTTCTTCTCTTCATAGCATTCCTAACTTATCATAGCGTATAATGTGTCCAACATGTAGCATTCTTTGTTTACACAACATGCAATGTGTCTGACGTACAGTCAATCTCGGCAATTCTCAAATTTAGGTGCCCAAATTCCTATGTAGTAAAATTGTTATTGTTTTTGATTTATTATTCACGATGAGAGGGTCAATAGGTTAGGGTTGAGGCAAGTGCTTTCTTTTGGAAATTCCTGATCAGAGAGCTATAACGCTTGATTCACTAATTGTGCAGCTTATGTTGCCAGGTTTACACATTATTTCGGATAGTTGGAGGTTGTATGTTAAGGTCACCAGCACACAAGGTGAGATATATATGCAATCAGTTGTGATACAGGAGCAAAAGTTTGTAAATAATAATGCAAAAGTTCATAAACAGAATATTGGAAAAGTTTGGAGCCGGGCCAATATAAAACATCAAGGGAACTGTTTCTGTCTAATATGTCATGTCAAAAACAATTTAAGAAAAACTGACACATTCACTAGTTTTATGCCTGCAATTAATACTAATGACAATACAATATTATCCACTATAACATGTCCACATAATAGTGAAAAACAATTAATTACAATTAAACATTTTAATGTTTATACTTTATTTTAGTTACAGCAAATGTGTGTGATCATAATTAATATAATTATAATATCAATTACTTCTTAAATATTTTTGTTATAGCACCTAAGTCCTAAAGTCTAAACTAAACTGGAAGATTGCCACCTACCAGACCTGCAGATCTAATGTTCTCTGACCGTTTTTATATTACCTTAACACTTAAGTGTTAAAGTCTTACTTTTCTTAATTAAGTTAATTTAATGTTAATGATAATCTTAATTACTAATTAAATAATAATTAGTAATAATAAATAAATTAATTAATTTAATTTAATTAAATAATAATAAAACTAATAAATTTGGGACAAAATGCAAATCATCTTTTTATTAGTTTTATTACAAAATTACATAAAGTAAAAATTTTAAAATTAAAAAGAATATATTAATATAAATAATATAAAAATAATTCTAAACTGAGCCAACGAAAACTTTGTTTTGTTTACATCCGATTGGAAATGAGAAAAATTCAAATTGGCCTCACTTACGATTGCAGCCACGCATAGATATAATACTAACGCGATTGATACCTGTTGATTGATTGATTTTGGTTAATTTTAATATATATAAACCATGGAATTATATAATTCAATGATATATACATACAAACATATATACATACATATATGCAACGAAATAAAAAGTAAAAGTTCTGAAGTGCACAGAATAAAAGTATTAAGAAAAATGTTGACAAAAATAAGTTGAAAAGTAGTTTTCAAAAATACCCAATGAAGATGAATTTTTAACAGTAGTTGGTAAGTATATTTTGGTAAACTATCTTAAAAACAAATAGAAACCGACAAAGTTGAATTTATTAAGAACAAAATGTGGACATCACAGGTGGTGATTAAGTTTAAAATTTAAAAAACTAGTGCTGATTCCCATAACTAAAGTTCAATATTTTTAGGTGTTTTTTGGTTTGCAATGTCTATGGTTTATTCGACATCGTGTCGTGGATTTTCAATCACTAAATTTTCCGTTATAAACTAAAGTTTATTTATTATTTTCCTTCAATAAAACAATAATAAATTTTTTCTGACAACGTTTTTAAAATTTGCGAAAGATTTCTTTGCTGTATTATAGTTCGTTTTACAATATATTATGAATTCGACAAATTTTCATCATCATCGTTATAGTAACCGATTTTCATTTCAAATTTTAACGGTTTTTTATTTTAATTTAATTTAAATAACAATTTCACTTTATATTTAGCTAATTTCAATTTTTTCAATTAAGTTTCTAGTTTTCTATTTCATTAATTTTATTTTATCATCCGTTTTTACCACTTGTTACTAATTAATTCTCACATCCTCAATCGAATGATCAAATACACACGCCAACAACTGCTTGATTATCTACCCGACAAATTCGCCATCAAAAGACCGCTAAGAAAAACTCTTTACTTCAACAAAATTTGGATCCCAGACCATCAACAACATCAACACCTCTTCTCTTTTCTTCAATCGCTACAGCACTCTCTACAACAACTTCAACATCAACACCCCCGGTCAATCTACCTAGCATTAATTCATCGTCAGCAATACCAGTAGTAGTTTCATCAACCCGTAAAAAAAGCAACCACTCCAGTCGACGCTCCTCATCATATCATCCCAATCTCATTAACATCAAGCTCACCCCAACTTACAACCCAGCCAAAATCACCCCATGTCATCATCCACCCACCATCTACATTTTGAATGTTATTAGCATTGTCAAGCCACATGCTATTGAGCATTTGAGATGTGGTGTGTATCATCTCCACCATGACATCATCATCATCTCCAAATCATGGCTTAGGCCAGATCACCCTGATGGTTTGATCGCAATAGATGGCTACACATCCTCCAGAAAAGACCGCACTGGCAGGCAGTGTGGAGGAGGCGTTGTTATCTATTTGAAGTCATCCATCTCATCTCAAATTCACATCGTTTTGCCTCGTGCTATCAATGATGCACTGGAAACTCTTTGTCTCAAGTGCATTATTGACTTCATCTGCGCCATCTATCATGCACCAAATCATCCATCATACGAAGTCTCCACCTTGATGGGGAGTGACTCAAAACTCGTCATTGGGGGTGACTTCAATCAACTCGACCATCATTCCATCCTTCAAACAGGTTGACACCCTATATTCTGGGGCCTCACCCACCAAGGCCACAACCTTGACAGATTATATGGGATTAATGTAAATCTGGACATCACTCACACTTATAGGTCACACGTTTCAACACATCATAATACAACACAACAAAAAAAGTCGTCTCATTTCGCCGTCGTCGACCTTCACAGAGTAGTGCTTGCCTTCAGCATCTCAACAACATCGACTTCAATAATATCTTCGACTTCAACATCACCACCACCAACAATACTCTGCCAGCAATTTTTAATAATAATACTATTAATTTTAATTAATAGCGATCACCAAATACATCAACACACTCATCATCAACTTCAACTCTAAAACCTTCACTAACAGTAAACTTGGAAGCAAAGCCATGCGGGACCAAGTCAACAAGATCAGAGGCTCTGACAAATCATTCAACACGTCATTCTACTTTTTTTAGCCATACTCTTTCATCTACTCTACCTATTAACTCTAGCGTAGTTCAAGGTTCTGTCCTTGGACCATTTACCTTTATCATTAATGCTTCTACTCTCAAAACTTTTCATAGGTCTAATCAAATCATCAAATACGCTGACGACATCTACCTTATCATTTCATCATCTAAATCAAACACCATCCAATCAGAACTCGACTCATTAACTACAGGTCAAAACGATGCAACCTGTCATTTAATCTCAATAAATCATTCCAACTCATCATTCACAAAAGCCATAAAAAAAATAACATTAGCTCCTGAACACCCATCAATCACTCGCACAAATCAATTAAAAATATTAGGCATCACATTCACCTCCACACCCAATACAGCGCCTCATATCAGTCACACCATCACAAAAGGCTTTCAAACATTTCACGCACTCGAAACACTCCGCTCACATGGTCTCAGAGGCATCAAATTATTCGACATCACTCAATCACTCATCATCTCACGCATCAAATATGCAGCTTCCTCCTGATCTGGTTTTGCTACACAACAACAACTTCAGCAACTACAATCTCTCATCAAAAAACTTATTTGCTTCAACTATTTACCTGCATCATATCCTACCGTCACTCAGATATTCAACACATTCGATTCAAGACTGTTCAAGAAAGTAGAAAATAACAACCATGTCATCCATCCTATACTACCACCAATTAAAACCACAACACATAACCTTCGTCAGCGCAAACATAACTATCAAGTCGTCGCCCAATCTACATACCAGGAAAAGACTTTCATCACAAGACACCTCACTAAAACTTTATCATTACAGAACAAGTTTTTATTTATCGATCACCTCACTAATTCACCATCAAACATATTAATACTCATTAAAACTTTATCATTCACAGATCTAGCTTTTATTTATCGATCACCTCACTAAGTCATCATCTGGTCTATTAATTTGAATTTTATGCCGTTACTTCATTTTATATTTCATTGTCAATTACTTTTCTTTTATTTATTTTATTATTATTATTTATTTTATTCTAACTTATTTTATTTTTCATGTTTTAACATTTTTTTCCTCACTTTTTGTATTTATTTACTCACTTATTTGTTTAATTTTGTACAACTGCCTTGCATGTTGTACAGTTTCTGCGTTTGTCAGATCCTGATTTTTAAAGAATAATAAAAAAACAAAAACGTCAACCCCACAGCAAATTGATGCCAACACACTCAACACCCACTTTGTTTCCATGTCAACCGACCCGTCCTACAAAACTTCACCAACAAAGGCAACAACAATCAATAGTCGTCACCAACGTCAACAATTTACCCCATACTCCGTCCTGCACATGCTAACGAAGGCCTGTCCATCCGATACAGGTCCAGACGGTCTGCCAGCATGATTTCTACAAATCATTGCTCTATTCATCTCCAGCACTCGACTCCACCAACAATACTCAGGTTCATCTACATCCGCCATCATCTCTCTTGTACAATAGCATCTTTTCTTAAAAATAATAATTATGTTCACTATCAATCACTGCTTAATTCATTTATTCATCCCATCACAATGGAAATCCAGCACAATTCAACCAATTCCTAAAACAAAATACCCATCATCACCATTAGACTATCGCCCAATATCTATCACCCCCATATTTTCACGTATTCTAGAAAAATTCATCGTTAGGTCATTCATCTATCAATGTTTTAACCACTCGTCCATCAAACCACCATTACAAGAAGATCATTTTGCCCTGCAGGTTCATCTACATCCGCCATCATCTCTCTTTCTCTTCTACAATAGCATTTTTTCTTATAAATAATAATGTTCATCTTATTGCTCTCGACTTTTCTAAAGCTTTTGACACAATCAATCACTTCTCACTTTCAAATAAATTAGCCTCTCTCTCTCTTCCTCTACTTGACAGATTTCACAATATTATAATAAATTTTCTTTCTAATAGAAGTCATTCTACTTTCTTTAGCTCTACTCTTTCATCTACTCTACCTATTAACTCTAACGTAGTTCAAGGTTCTGTCCTTGGACCATCTACCTTTATCATCAATGCTTCTACATCACTGAATCACTTATAATCTCACGCATCAAATATGTAGCTCCCTCCTGTTCTGGTTTTGCTACACAACAACTTCAGCAATTACAATTTCTCATCAAAAAACTAATCAGCTTCCATTATCTACCTGCATCATATCCTACTTTTACTCAGATATTCAACACACTCGATTCAAGACTATTCAAGAAAGTTGAATATAACAACAGCCATGTCATTCATCCTCTACTACCATCAATTAAAACTACAACACACAGCCTTCGTCAACGCAAGCATAACCATCAAGTCGCCACCCAATCTACATATTAGGAAAAGACCTTCATCACAAGACACCTCAAACATATTCACACTCAATAAAACTTTATCATTCACACAACTAGTTTTTATTTATTTATCGATCACCTCATCTAGTCTATTAATTTGCGTTTTTATGCCATTACTTCATTTTATTGTCAATTTTTTATTTTTTTTTATTTATTTTAGTCTATTAATTTGCGTTTTTATGCCATTACTTCATTTTATTGTCAATTTTTTATTTTTTTATATTATTATTATCATTATTATTTATTTTATTCTATTTTATTTTACTTTTCATGTTTACTGTTCAAAGAATTTATTATTACAGTATAAAATTTTAGTATTATTATCTAAAATGTTTCTATTTAGCATTATGTATTTTTATAGCACCATTTTGTTAGTGCATTGTTTATCTGCGTCCCAGAGAAGTTGTAGTCATTCCGATATATAGGGTATTACGGTGTCTACACTCACCAAATCTACAATAAAATGCATTTAACAGATGACTACAACTCATTTGTCGCTCAGTTTTAAACGCTGAAATTATTTTTCAAAATTAAATTGGAAGTTATATTGTTCCTATAATATATTCTTAACTTGAAATTAATGTTACTATATACTACTTTTACATTACTTTTTTTATGATTTGTTCATCAGTTTTATATGAAGTCGACAATGTTTTTATAATAAACAATGACGTCTTTAAGAGAAGAACTTAGGTTATTATTATCATTTTTAGATTATTAGTAAAAGTATTAGTGTCAGTAAAGATAGTATTAGTAGTAGTAATACTAGCACTAATGGCAGTATTAGTAATAATATAGTGTCAACTATATTATTACCATTATTATTAACACTTATTATTATTATCAGTAATTTTAACAATTTTATTTACATTAGTTATATTATTATCAGTATTAATGTTTTCATTACCATTTTTATTGTCATTAACATCAAAATTATTATTAACATTAGTAGTATTAATGATATTAGCAAAATTGTTATTTTTTTTTATTATTATTAGAATGACTCTTATTAGAAAGAAAATTTATTATAATATTTTAAATGTTGTCAAGTAGAGAAAGGAAGGCTAACTTATTTGAAAGTGAGAAGTGATTAAGAGTGTCAAAAGCTTTAGTAAAGTCGAGAGCAATAAGATGAACATAATTATTATTTTTAAGGAAAGATATTTTTGTGGAAGTAAAATTGGAATTTTGTACATTTCATTCACTACATTCACTTTTACCATTCAAACAATATCCTTGGTTAGTTGGCTTTACATATAGTGAAGTCATGAATTTTTCATCATCAATTTAGACTAAAGTATTTAAAAATGGAGGACTTTTTTTCAGTTGAAAGTTCATGCGTAAAACTTAGTTTTGAACTATTGAAGAAATCTAATAATTGTTGAACTAATTCAAAATTCTTATATATAATAAAAATATCATCTACATATCGAGTATAAATATCAGGTTTCAAATTGGGATATTTTAAAATATTGAATATTCTAGATGACCCATGTAAAAATTGGCGAACAATACTTCTAGAGGTGAACCCATTGCTATGCCGTCAATTTGTTTGTAGAGATTACCATTGGAGGAATAGAAAGGAGCTTCGGTAATACATATTTTTAAAAGAAATTTAAGGTGATTTTTAGGTATTTTAAGATGTAAACAAGATTAATTATAAACATAATTAAGAATTACATCAATAGTATCAGAAACAGGAACATTAGTAAAAAGTGATTTTACATCAAGAGATGCAATATTATATCATATATTATATATATCATTAAAAGGATGAGAAGAAGAAAGAATAACAATAAATTCTTGAAAAGGGTTTATGTTATAGTTAATTTAATTTTAATTATAGATTTTGGTTACTTTAGTGAATAGTCAACAATATTTTTAACTGTATTTTAAATTATTACACTGATGTTGCCGAAAACAGCTTTTTTGTTGCATTTAACTTATTTTAATTTTATTAGTTCATATTTAATTTATTTCAATAATTTAATTTTTATTTGAATATGTTATTTTTAAATTAATAGCAATAAAATGATTATTATAAAACAGTTTGTTAATTTAATTAATAAACTAAATACAATTTATTATTATAAAAATAGAGAAATTAAAATTAATAAATAATACTATGGCGATAGAATTTAATGACACTTGTATATATACTTTTATATTAACTTATTGACAAAAACCACAGCAAGTTAACTTCCTATTTATCGAATAGTTTTTCTAACGGTTCTGTTGATCGTAAATCATTCTCAAGTTTTTTGAGTTCAATATTTCTTGGATATTGTTCAATTTATTAAAAATAGAATAAGTTTATCGTGCATATTTAATAAAACTGTTGTTATCTAAATTCATCATGCAGATAGGCCTTATTTCATAATCATCTAAATTCATGGATATAATGGATATGGCATAAAAATTAATTTATTATAAAAATTGTTTTTTGTTTTATGGATCAAGCATCGTCGTTGTCTTCTTTAGCGTCTTTGATTAACCGTCTGATCTTAAATTATCGCTTGCGAAGTTTTTGCCTCGTTTGCTGTTTTAAATTCGATTTCGTATTGCATTTTATATATTATATACTATATTTAATACATTTAAAAAAGAAGGGATTAGTATAATTTTCTGCATTTATACATTTCGTTTTATACATTTTACATACATACATACAAACATACATAGACACAATATACATACATAAGTAGTTAAGTACACATGACATGACATTGAGATTAAACTATTAGAGAATCTTAATTCTTAACTTGTCAAAATAATATTAAAAACAATAATACATTTTTAATTAGAAAATATTTGCTTAGTATTTGATTTAATAGACACAGATTCTCAACCAAATCAAAATGCCTGTGTGTTCCATTAGAAAATACCACTCATCTTATTTAGATGAAAATGTTACTTTACACAGGTTAATTTAATTTAGATTATACTATACACTATACTATACTATAGCTGTTAAGTATAACACTATACAATATAATTATAATAATCAGCAAACAATTATATATAATAATATAATATAATAGTAATAAATAATATTAGTAACCAATAATCCGGTTCCATCATAATTTAAACATTTTGTATTTTTAGCCCTCTTCAGAAGTAAAGTTAGTTTCCGATAATATTTCTGCAACGTTAATAACTGATGTTATGTCAAGTGTAAATTTTGTTCGTATTTTTAAATCTATATATTATCAAGATTGTGCTACATTTTAAGCCACCAAGTATTACAAATTTCAGTTTTTATTAAATATTTTAAAAAATTTGTTTTGCGTTAAGTTTTGTTATATTTATATTAAAACATAAGAAGCATGTTTATGTATTATGTATAAGATAGAAACATAATTAAACATTTGTCTTGTCGTTCTGACTGGTGTTATCTTCTTAAAGATTAGATGTCTTGCAAATAATAACATATATTCAAAAACGTTCAGTGTTAATAAAACTTTAATAATTTAACATTTCATTACCCTCAACATCATCGCGGCCAGTTGAAAAACCATCAACATCTGCCGTTAAATTGGTTTGTATGTTTGACAGGTTACAACATAATATACGTATCAAATACAATTTATTAAATTACACTTTCTGCAACTCTCAAATACAAATAGTTATCTGAAAAAATTTTATATGGCTTGCATTCATTGATGCTTCTATTTCAAAAAACTGAATTGTCATTTAAAAATTACTTTATGAAGTTTTTGGAATATATACTTGAAATGTAACAGACTGGTATTGATGCTTTGACGCCGAGAAGTTTGAAAAGGAAAGCTAATCAATCAAGTACGACATTGACTAAAACAAGGAAAGTGTTACAGTTGCAATAGAAGAATAAAAAGATATAAATTAAATGTTCAGGCATTTGAAGAAAAAAATTAAAAAACTTAAAGAAATCAATGATGAACTGAACTCAAGATTGGTTACAAATTCCGGTAAAAAAATTTTATAAATTAAACTTTTTTTCACTATACATTTTTTGTTGAAATTGTGTCATTGCTTCCTACCCAAAAATTTATTCTAACGTACTGAATTTGTACGTTAAAATTCGATCATCTGGAGTTGTTCTTCAACTTTATCAGAAGTACAGATTTGAAAATATATAAAGTAATTTTTAAAACACTTTAACTTCGTATATTATAATTTGACTTAGGAAAATGCAATGACAATCCCAATGTACAACAGTTTGAAACCATCTTTAAACGAGTTTATTTCAGATGTGGGATTGTCCTTGGGAAAACAGGATTTTAGCTTTATGCTTTTTCTATATCATCATCATAAAACAGTATACAAGAAAACATATATTACAGTTGAATAACAATAGGAATAATGCATTAACAACCATTAACAACATTGCTAATAACAGACGGCTACCAATAAACAATTCCTAACATTTAATAAACATATTTGTCATGTAACAGAGAGGCAATTAAAAATGAAAACCGAGCAACATAAAATGATAACTGAATCGGTAGTTTCAAATGTTTTTAAAAGGTTGGCCAATGAAGATTTATTAAATCTCAAAGAATATATAACAGATACATTTAATGGATTAAATAATCATTATTTTTGTTTACTTAGACTTATTGCAAAAACATATTTAAATATACGTTCATTTTATTTCGCAAAAACCACAAATCAAATAAAAATCCTTTCTAAATTTCATAAGTTAATACATTTCAAGGGACAATAAAATCATTTATCAATGAAAAGATTTATCAACCATTTGTAAATTTTGAATTATTTGATTTACTTAGTAATTATATTTGTTATATATATATATATATATTAAACATACTTTTGCTATCTGTTGGTAAAATCTGTATTTTTTATTTGGTCATTATGTTTCATAAAACCCATCA